CGGAAGGGCTCAGACTAGGGGCCCGTCTTCCACCATTACAGCTCTTCAAAATGGACGTTGTTTTTGCCATTTTCCGAAAGAGACCTCCTGCAACCTCGGGGGCCCACACTGTCCGAGTCTTGGGAAGTCAGGCACCCACCAGCGCTGTCCCTCCCCCAGCTCTTGCCCCCGGCAGCCCTCGCCCAGGCCACGTGACGTGGCTCCGCCTCGGGTTTATCCGGGGACTATCCCGTCACAGGGCTCCTCGTGCCGCTCCACAACCCACACCTGGGGCTGTTCTCTTCCTTAAAGAGCCATGGTTTGCGTGGCTCGGTGGTTGAGCATCGACCGATGAACCAGAGAGGCAAGCACCGGAGGCCAGGCCCCAGCTGGGGTCTCGGCCCATCCCCCGCGGGAGCCGCCCTCTCTGCAGCCAACACGCCTGCGACACGTGTGTCCTGGGGTCGCTGCAGGACCGGGAGGGGTTCACGCCTTCCCTCCCGCAACCCCCGCCCCCTCAGGGCCTGCTCCGTGGTCCCGGCCTCTCCACCCTGGACGGTGCTGCCGTCGGTTCCCGCTCAGCCGGTCACTGTGGTTGATGGTCTCGCTGACTGGCCCCTGTCCCCTCTCTTCCCTCTGGGTCCCCTCTTCCCTCGGCCATATTTCCTGCGGCATCCACGGGGCCCAGAGCGCGTTTGGAGAAGGACGCGCTGTCGGCACACCTGAGGCTCATAAGGTGTCGTCTGCTGCCCTCTGCTGGGCAGACACGGGAGAGCCTCATCTCAAAGGAGTGGACAGACTGGAGGCGGACAAGATGACCCCAAATTTCGGTTTGAAGCTGATTTAACTGAGGTTGTTAAATATTTCTCCCCCCCGGCCCCACCCAACACTGTCGGAACCAGGCACGGCTGTCTACACCTTCCCCTCTTCCCAGGCGCCCGCCGTCCACGCAACAATCCTGTTCTCCCAGGCGGTGGGTCTCCTTTGGGGGTTCAATCGTTCCCTCCGACTGATCTCTAAACATTTCACCGTGTTGGATGGCGAATGCGAATAAAAAGCCACCAGGCTCCCCCGGCCGGCGTGGCTCAGTGGTTGAGCGTCCACCTATGAACCAGGAGGTCAGGGTTCGATTCCCGGTCAGGGCACATGTCCAGGTTGCAGGCTGGCTCCCCAGTGTGGGGCGTGCAGGAGGCAGCCAGTCCATGATTCTCTCTCATCACTGATGTTTCTCTCCCTCCCTCCCTCCCTGTCTGGAACCAATAAAAATATACATATTTTTTAAAACCCCAGGCTTCTCGCAGGCTGCCCTGAGGGCTGGGGCGACCGGGAGAGGGGCCACGGCCACGGTCTGTGCAGAGCGCACGAGAAGGCTTGGCGAGCAAAGACCTGAAATCCCTGAAACTTTAAAAGGGGGAACGAGGATTGTGTGGGGCTTCTAGCCCTTAAACCGTGCAGCACGCGTTCTAAGACTTTCTCAGCTGGAAAACACAGGCTCCTCCAGCCCTTCACTCCCCTGTAGTAACGTGTAAGAAGACGCTGGGCCGTGGGAGCCGACGCCTCATCATACACGAAGCTTTTCCTCGTTAACAGAACCATCCCCATCTCACGGCCACGTGGGCCTCACCGCAAAGCCAGTCAACGCCTCCTGAGCTTTTCACAAACTCACATACGAGCGAAGACTCAACATCTAAATAGACTTTATTTTTTCCTTTTACTTATTTGGACAGAAAAGAAAACTCAACTCCCCAGCCTGCATTCGAGACTCCCTAAGTTCGGGGAACACATTCAGCTCAGAAGACAGTGGACCTTGTAGAAAAAGCATCACAAATGAAAAATAGATTCTCCACGTGGTCAAAGTGCTCTCGCTCTGTGTACAGGGCGCGGCAAAGGCGTCTGGAAACACGATTGAGAATCCGGCCGCGGTCGTGGCCCTGAGTGGACACCAGGGGCGAGGTGGTCATCGCGAGCCGAGGACACGGGGGCACGGGGGGGGGCACGGAGGTGGGCATGCTGCCAGCACACGTAACGGATGGGTGTGCGCACGGAGCGTCCCGGGCCCGAGGAGAACAGATTCTGCGTTTGTGAACGTGAGGGCTCGTCCGTCGGGCGGGAGGGGAGCACGCGGCTCCAGAAGGGACTGGGGACGGCAGCCTGTCGGCCGCTCTGGCTGATGTTCTGGGGGACAGTGGGCCCTGGCTGCCCGCTGCTTGTCCTGTCTTCGTGTCCGGCCCCGGCCCCTCGGGAGATCACAGCCGAGCCAGCACCCACCCCCCATCCCATGTGCCACCTGAGACAGGCAAGCACTGGCCCACGTGGGCCGAGACGTAGCCAGTGGCCGTCCGGGGACGTCTGTCTGTCTCAGCGATGCTGCGTGTTTGTCAAGACCAGTCATCCCGCCAATGACACTCGAGAGGCCCGCAGGCCCCCCGGGTCCCTGGGGGAGGCAACCCCATCTGTTCCGGAACGAGCTCCCTCTCTGGCCCGAGCACGGGCACCGGGCACAGAACCCAGACCTGGGATCGAGCCGGGACCGGGTGAGGCAAGGGGGGGAATGGGAAAGAAGGGAGACATCTTCCTTTTACAGACGACCTTAAGCAACAGTAAGAAAATAACCTGAAGATATATTTAAAAATAAAAAATAGCGTCACACTTCATTCACCGCGCCTGTGGGCGTGCCCCTCCCCTCCCCGTGCCCGGCCACACGGACGCCGGAGCAGGGAGGCCTCCTCATGCCCGCACTTGACGGACGCCCCGTTTGTTTCCTCCTCCACGAGGCGGATCCGGAAAACCCGTCTTCTCCGCGCACCGACCGACCTCAGCCGCGCACAGCCCATCCCGCTGGCTGAGGTCACGTCCACACGGCACGAGTGAACCAGGCCACACACGTCTCTACGTCTTTACAGAGCGGGCGCTTCCAGCAACGGGCCGCGGCTCGTCCTGCCCCTGGCACCTCTGGGGCACCAGCCCTCCCGGTCCGTGGTGCTGAGCTGAGGCCCCTGCAGGCTCCGCGGGCATCGAGGATGGCACGCCGGCTGAGACCTGGACTGGCGGCGGCCTGGTGGCACGTGGCGTGTGGAGTCAGGGTGTGGTGCCCCCTCCTTGCACCGCATCCCCAGGCTCCGGGCGGGCAGGTCGACGGCAGGCTCTCCCCCCCACACCTGGTCCTTCCCCGAGCCCAGCCCCGGTCAGGGGGTCGGAGAGGCGTCCTCCAGGCCCAGCAGCTCCCGCACGAGTCTCTCGCCGAACTGCGCCCGGCTGTACCTCTGCACGTGGTAGGCGTCCGACAGCTTGTACAGGATGTAGGCGTTGTTGACGGCGATGCTGACGGCGAACCAGAACACCTGCTGCCAGGTCTTGTTGGGTTTGTGAGAAATGAAATACCTGCGCGGACAGGGGGGGTCAGGAGCCGCCCCAGCCCGGCCAGGTGGCTCAGTGGTGAGCGTCCACCTATGGACCAGGAGGTCAGGGTGCGATTCCCGGTCAGGGCACAGGCCAGGGTTTTGGGGGCTCGATCCCCAGTGTGGGGCATGCGGGAGGCAGCCGGTCCATGGTTCTCTCTCATCATTGATGTTTCTCTCCCTCCCCCTTCCTCTCTGAAATCAATAACTTATTTTTTAAAAGATAGACAAAGAGGCGAACAGCTCCCATCACAGGCGTGGGAGAGGAGAGCTGAACCCGGGAGCAGGCGTCTGTGGCTCAGAGCACAGGGCCCAGGGGCCTCCTGGGCCAACCCCACGCAGGGCGCCTCTCTTCCTGCCTCGTCTACACTCCTGTCTCCGCTCTGAGGGCCAAGGGTTTGGGGGTCAGACCTTCCCCGCGCCCACCCACAGGCTCCCAGCAGACGACTAAACACGCGGGGTTCCCTGTGACAGCCGCCTGGACCTCGCAGGTGCGGGGCACGTAGAGCGGACGCGGGAGACGGCTCAGGGGCCCCCTCGGAGCAGCTCCCGGCCACGCCCAGACGTCGCCTCTCTGAGAGGCCAAGTCCATGGCCCAGGGCCGCTGAGGTTGGTCCCACCCGGTTCTGGGTGTGAGGCCAGGACTAGTGACCTAGTGGCAAACCCAGGTCCCACAGCCATCGTTGCTCAGTTCCTGTTCGGAACGTAAGGACGCCCGGCCAGCAGACCAGCAGACGGCACTGCGGGGACACGCACGGACACTGCGTCACGTCCGTTCTATGTGGACACTTGAGATGAGACCACGCCTGTGAGGGCACCGCGGCTGGAATCACTGGGAAGCCGCTGGCAGACCACGGCCACGGGCAGACCACGGCCACGGGAGGGTCTGAGAGGGGGACAGGGGTGCGGGGTCTGGGCCAGTGGCGGAGGAAGGTGTGAGCAGGCGGAAGGAGGCACCTTCGGGCAGGGAGGGGGCCGAGAAGGGCCGGTGCCCAGAGGAAGGCTGGGCCGCTGGGCCGAGCCTGGGAGCCGGGGGAGGGCTCCGGGGGATCCAGGGCCTAGGTTCTTTCAATCGTTCGATCTGAAGTTGGGGCAATACTGACCGCCCGTCCCCGTAACCCCGTATCCTGTGCCGGTGACTCCGTGGGACCCCTCCCCGCCCCGCCCTGCCCCCCCGGACGGGAGAGGCCGGCACCTACTTGCTGTACTTGTCGTCGTATCTGCAGATGTAGCTGAGGTGAGCGGCAAACGCCTCCACGGCCAAGGGGCAGGGGACCTCCCCGCTCCTCCGCTTGATGATCACCCCTGCGGGGACCGAGGGTCAGCCCAGGCCCCTGTGTGCCCTGCCTGTGACTCACCCGTGCCTGTCCCACCCGCCTGGGTGTCCCATGTAAACCAGAGAGCAGAGGGGGGAGTGGGGAGGAGGAGGAGGATGGAGGATGGGAGGAGGAGGGAGGAGGAAGAGGGGAGGGAGAGGAGGAGGGAGGAGGAAGAGGGGAGGGAGGGGAGGAGGGAGGAGGAGGGGAAAGAGGAGGAGAGGAGGAGGCAGCAGAGGCTGAGGTCAGCAAGCACAGGCAGTCGCTTCTGCCCACTCTACCCGCCACGGTCTCAGCGCAGAGGCTGCTGTCCCTCTTGCCTTCCTCCCGCTGTTTTCATCCCTTTAACTGAACACCGAGATTCCAGCTGAACGCTCAGGGGAGCAGCTTCAAAAACCCAGGCCTGCCTCAGTTTCCCCAAGTGTCCCAGGTGCACGAACCAGGTCGCCGCCCCCGGGGGGACACTGCACTGTGAGGTACTGCTCCGCCTGGAACGGGGAGGCTCCTGGCCTGCAGTCACCACTCCCGAGGCCCCGAGAGCTGCAGACACTGGACATGAGCCCTTCCCACCGGAACAGGCTCCCGCAGAACCCTGGGGCCCAGTGAGCACGTGCAGCCCTTCACAGACAGCTGCTGTCAGACCCACGGACACGAGGGATCGGAGGCGCCTCAGTCCCCGCCACCCCATCGCTGTTCCTTCACCGACGCCTGGCGGGAGCCACAGCCCGCAGCCCAGCTGCCGAGCAGCACCGGGTGGCGGGACACGGCCAACTCACCCCCGTGTGTCCCCTACACTCCGCGACCCCCGGCCCAGCCCCGCGCGGCGCCCACCTTGCTGCAGGGGCGAGTAGGCGTTGGTCAGGAAGCGGAAGTGGCCCTTGTTGTACCAGCAGATGAGCGACATGCTGCCCTTGGTGCGGATGCGGTGCTGGCCCCGCGCGGGCGGCGTGGCGGGGCTGGCGAGCATGGACCGCGGCAGCCCCGTGCAGTCGCTCTTCCGCGAGCTGAGCAGCCCGCAGCAGTAGATCCCTGAGGGGGGACACAGGCCACAGGCATCAGTCCCCTGGCTGCCCAGCCCCGACGGCTCCCCAGCCCGGGTGGCTCCCCAGCCCCGACGGCTCCCCAGCCCCGACGGCTCCCCAGCCCCGGCGGCTCCCCAGGCCCGGCGGCTCCCCAGCCCGGGTGGCTCCCCAGCCCCGACGGCTCCCCAGCCTGGGTGGCTCCCCAGCCCCAACGGCCCCCCAGCCCCGACGGCTCCCCAGCCCGGCGGCTCTCCAGCCCCGGCAGGCTCGGGAAAGGACGAGCTGCTCATTGGACTGCCCGTCTGAGGCGGGTGCGTGGGAGATATGTATATATGCAGGTGTGAGTGCATGTACAGGTAGGTGGTGTGTGTGTGTATAGGCGGGTGTGAGTGCATGTAGGTGGTGTGTGTACAGGCGGTGTG